GGGGGCCGCAGACTCGGCTCGGCTGCCAGGCGCGCCGGCGCGGGGTCGCCGCGCGAGCAGCGCCCGGGCTGTCGCCTAGCCCGCTCCTGACAGAATAACGTGCTTGGTTTCCCCACCCCTGGGAGGGGTTGCCGGGGCCGCAAGCTGCCTCCCAGTTTCCATCGCTCTCTCCTGGGGAGGATCCGCCGCCGGGAGGAAGGATTAGAATAAACCTGACCGAAGCGTAGAAGTGGCTCCTGAGGAAGCGGGCGCCGGGGCCGCCGCCTCGTGTCGCCTCGGGGCGCAGCGCTCGGGGGTCGGCGGGCCAGAGCCGAGGCGCGGCCGGAGGGCCGGGGCCGGCGGGGCCGAGCGAGCTGCTGTGCGAGGGGGAGGGCGCACGGCAAGCACGGGGGCGGCTGGGCAGCCCCCCGCGCCCCGCGGGGCCCCGGAGCCCCAGCACGCGGGCTGGAAGCGACTGAGGACCGCCGCCGCGGGCTGCGGGCGAGCACTGTCCCTCTAGGCAGGGGATCCGGCTATGACAGCTGGGCTCCCCAAAGGGTTAACCTGGGTGTCCTCGGCAAAGTTGTCGCCGAGCCGGGAGCCCGCGTAGGGGCCGCGGCGCCGAGGCTCTGGGGGCGGCCGGGCGGCCGGCGGCGGTCGTGGCTCGGCGGGGGCCGCGCGGCCGGGGGGCTGCTGGGGGTGTGCGCCCCCAGCCGGCTGCCCTCGTGGATGCCTCCCGGCGGCGGCGGGCCCATGAAAGACTGCGAGTACAGTCAGATCAGCACCCACAGCTCCTCGCCCATGGAGTCGCCCCACAAGAAGAAGAAAATAGCGGCCCGAAGGAAATGGGAGGTCTTCCCGGGAAGAAACAAGTTCTTCTGCAACGGGAGGATCATGATGGCCCGGCAGACGGGCGTTTTCTACCTGACTCTCATCCTCATCCTGGTCACTAGCGGACTCTTCTTCGCCTTCGAGTAAGTGGTGGCGAAAGCTCCCCGACGCCTGGCACCCCTCGCCTCCCCGATCCCTGCCCTCTCCCCTCGCTACTTTCGTTTTCTAGAAGCCTTATCTATTGTATATTGTTAGATAATACAGACCCCGCTCTCCCTCTTTTTCTTTAAAAGGTCTGTTTGCTTTTCGGTCCCCGGAGATAATGCAGTTCTGGGTCGGGCTCTGGGAGTGATGGAGAGGGGAGAGAGGACACTTGGCAGGTGTGCCGGCCTTGTTGCTCCCCAGGGTTGAGTGGCACCTCGCAGGTGACTGATTCTTGGCGCAGGCCCTACTGAGTTTGGAGACTAGCAGACCAGCCCAGATGTAGCCTTCTGTGGGAAGCGGGGATGAGGCATATCCTTAAGTCAGGGATAAACAGAATCGACTTCCTTTCGTGCTCACGAGCTGTAGGGCATCTTGTGAAGCTCAGTTGACTAAATCTTATACATACCTTCCCTGACTAACGAGAAATCTTGGTTATTTTAGGTCTCAGAGTGTTGGCCACTCCATGTGGCTTGGAAGGATAATTTCCTTTTTCCTTCTCCTTAGATGTTCACTCTTGATCAATTTCTGATTTACTATCAGGTTTCTAAACGATTCACTTTAAAAAAAAGTTTCAGTAAAAAAATGCTCCAAGCAAACACTTTCCCCTCCCCTCCCCATATTGGGGAACAGGTAAAAGGAGACTGTAGGCCTGTCAGGAAGAGTATGACACTGCATAGTAACTTATGATTCCAGAAACAAAACTTTGGGACTTTAGGGCTTTTATCGGGGGAAAAAGTGCATGCCCGTCTTCTCCATTCAGGAAAATCAAATTGGCTAGTAGCAGCTATCTTCCTGCCAACTAATGAAAGATCTTCTTATTTGTTAAGAGCATTAGATAAAGTAGTTTAACCACATTTCAGAATCCACTTCAATTGCTCTTATTGGGTCCAACATTTGCAATGCAGCTTCTTGTGTAATTCTTGGTATCTTATGCTCAATGAAACTTGTAGCTACTACCCCCTCTCATTAAAAAAAAGCAATATATTTATTGGGAGTTCTTTGCTTTTCCTAGCTATTATGGGGCATGATACTCTTTCTGCTTCTGTTGGATAGGGTTAATTAAAAGCTTTTGTGTATGTTTACTTTTGTCTGTGGTAAGTATTAATAGGTTCTGATTTTGTGCCTGGTGTATGATATTCCAAATGCTGTCTCAGTCAGAAAAGGATGATCTCTTGACAACGTAATACTTTTCACTTAAAGCCCTCTGACTCTGAGGGGAAACATTTTGTGTCTGAACATGGTGCTGTGATGAACAATTTTAATGGGATTGAGTGAGAACAGGTGAGGAGAGAGATCTCTGATATAAGCTCCTTAACTCCCCCTGCCTTTCTTACAGACAACACCTCCATTTCTGACTATGTAAAATTTCCAGGTCTCTTCTAGAAGGTTAACTTTGGTGCACATTTGAGACTAGTTGGTGGAGTCTGTCTGGGGACCTGGTAACGGGAGGGTAAGGGTATGGAGAGGCTTTCAGAATGATGGGAGAAATGCCCTATTGTTCCTGCTGCTGCTCGCCTGCCCCCATCCAGAGCCACCCTGTTGTCCTTACAGACCTGGGGAACTGGGGGAAGGGGCCAGAGGTTCTGGGTGATTTTGCAGTCTGAGTCATAATAAATCCCGGCACTGACGTGGTGATGCCATACGGTTGAACAGAAATACCATCCTTCCAATGGTGGCTTTCATTACAGGTGTTCCCCTAGGTAGAGCATATTCACTATGTTCCTCATGTTAACAGAGTTTTGAATGGATCTATACTGGCATCTTTGAGCTTTTTTAGCAGTGTTAAGAGTGGATAAAATGGATTAATTTTGTGATTGTGTTGCAGAGCTTCAGCCACAAATGTGTTTCATTTAGGATCGTGACTGTTTCATTTTCTCTAAACACCCAAATCCCCACTGTATGGTTAGGGGTCCCCTGCAGTTATTACTTTTACTTTACTTTTACTTTCTTGTACTTTCTTCTTTCAAACACTGCTTTTAACCAAACCATCATAAGTTCATTTTCACCTCATCTCTGTGTGTTTCTTCCAAGAGTTCCCCAAAGTCCTCACTAGCAGGTTGTTAGGGATCTTTCTGTGTCAGCGTTGTGTTAACGGATGGCTGTAGGAATAAACACGTGCACTGGGATTTTATTAGCTACTGTCGGCAGCTTCAGTTTTAGATCGGCTCTACATGTATGTGTGTCTTTGGTGTCCGTGAGCGTTGCTTCAGTTAGGCAATTTGAAATTTCAAGAAAATAGGCTCATCGTAACATGATGCCTCAGTTACAAAAAAATCATAGGGCTGCTCAAATCATAGAATGTTACGCTTTAGCAAGAATATTTGTCACTGTATTGCTTTTAAGTTCTTTACCGTTACTAATGCCAGAGTGAAATTAAATAACTTTGACCAAATTAATTTGATAGAGACTCAGAGACCCAATTAGTCACATGCATGGGAAAGGAAATGCCAGCAGGCTAGGAGAGATCAAGAGAGAATGCCAGTTTTGTCTACTCTCTGTCTGCCTTCCTTCTGCCATTCCGTCGGTTATTTATTGAGCATATACTATGTGGTTGCCTATTTTGATTAATTTCATGTCTAGATAACTTTAATATTAGCAGAATTTGTTTTTAAACACGAGGGTCCATGTTTCTCCATACTGTAACACAAGGGCAAATATGAAATTTGAAAATAAGACATATAACTTCTAAACTTAGTTTTAGACTCCTTTTCCTGCAGTTCTTTTCCACCCCACATCTCCTTCCTGAGCTTGAAGAGATGGACAGGGAACTTTGTTCAAGAGAAGTGGACTTCTTGGAATGCAGCAACAGGTGTCGATACTGTCTTCAACCGTGGAAGAAAGGCAGGGTAGAATGAGTTTTCTCACCTTGAAGATGAAGTGACAGAGGCTTGGAGAGGTTAAATAATCACCTAAGATCACGCACTACTTAGTGGCCAGGCTTCTGGCTGGAAAGCCTGTGACCTTTCTGATGCTCTGTGCTGCTCTTCCCCCAAATATAGAATAGTGTTTACAGGCATGTGTACCTTTCGGAAGGACAGATCCCAAAATTCTTCCCAGAAGTATGACCTTAGACAAATTAGTTGACTTTTCTAAGCCTTGGTTTCCCAGTCTGTTAAATGGGATTAATAATATCTACCTTTAAACATTGTGAAGATTAAATGAAGTGTATTTAGTACAGTGTCTGATACATAGTACTCATTAAATGGTACATGTTATTAGAGCAGAACTTAGAAATAGCCTCCCAAGGACTCTGGTCACCCCTTTCTGAGAACCTGTGAAGGATGGAGTATGTGGATTAAGAAGCAAGCATGACAGTGATAGCATATTAGGGCTGAAAAAATGTGGAACTGTGTAGTCTGCAGTTGAACAGAGACCTTTGCGTGAGTCTGAGGGGCAGCTTTGCTCTTGCGCCTTTTATCCAGACCCTGAGCGAGGGCAGTGAGCAAGCCTACAAGAAGCAGGGACTGCATCTCATTTCCATCCTTGGAGCTGCCATCTCAGAATTGAGAAGACAGTAATAAAGCAACTAGAAGAAACCTGAAGCAACTCTCCAGTCTTTCTCAAGTAGGGCGGGGCTATTTATCTTTAGACATCTTTTATTCAACATATGGAGTGCTGGTCCAAACTGACAGCATTACATGGCTGTGTTTAAGAGGGAAGGGCGGAAGTTGGTTGCAGTGCTGTGGAGACATCTCACTGCTCCTTGCACTTACTGAGGGGCTGGCTCATCAGACTCCCTACAATGTCCTCATTCTCACACACCCCAGAATTGCCATTTGAAAAGATCAGTGAACATTATCAATTTCTTTCTCTCTGTTAGAGTTGAAAATTTGATAGAAAAAGTCTGGTCCTGAAGTACTGACGTTTCACAGTCTCTTGATCACAGGTGCAGAAAAAAGTAGATGAACTGAGTTGCAGATGAGGTTCCTGTTTCCAGGAGCATCCCCTGAGGCCAGGGGAGGCCTGCTCAGATCTTGGACTTGACTGTGTCCCAAGTCTGTGCTGTCACCACAGACAGTTTGGAGATGTTATTAGGGCGGAAGCACTTGAGAATGTGGCAGCATTCTTAAATTTCTCCTCACCTAGAAGTCCGTTGGTGATTCTTAAAAAACGCCATGTTTTTCTTCTCTCTTGTCCTCCCCTTTCCCTTCCTTCCCTTCTTTTCTTCATTTCTTCCTCCTCCTTTTTCTTCTGCTTTGGCTCATCCCCTCTGAAATACTTGATGAATAATTGGTAGTCAGTTGAATTGGAGTAATGTTTGCCTTGAAGATGGAACAAGGGACTGTCTCCATAAACAAAAGTGTCACTTCCAATAATAATGTCTCCTTTTTAGATTGGAAATCCTTTATTATCCAGTAGAGGGTACTGCCCTTATAATATGTAACGATCTCATCTTTTCTCAACCGTCCTGTTCCGAACTGCATCAAGTTCTCCATCACCTCAGAAAACGTCTGGAAAGTGTCCCATCTTTGTCTGGCCAGATGCTGGCCATGCTGTGCATCGTAGAACACCATGAGGTTGATAGTAGGTGATGGTAGGTGACCACCAGCACCTTACACTGAACATTCCCTATTAACATAGTAGACGGTGTCAAGGATACTTTACTTTATAACCCACTGTGGCTCCACAAGAATTTTAGGTGGCTTCAAAACCTTGTTAATGGCCTCTTGACGTGAGTGCACTAACCTATTCATTTATGTGTGATTAACACATGTAAATTCCATGGGGGTAGGGACTCGATTTGTTTTGTCCCCTGATGTTCCCCCAGCACCTAGAGTAGTAGCTGGTACATAGCAGGCTCTCAGTAAATATTTATCATTTAATGAAATAATGGTAAAATTGAAACAGACTGAAAAATAACTTCCGTGTGCTTCAGTTTTTCATTTTGTAAAGTTGGGAACATTAATAAAATGTAAAATTAATAATATCTTATAGAACA